TGTTATGAGGAAATTTTATATAATTATGGGATAATACACCTACTTTGAAAGAACATAGTTTAACATAAGGGATATCTGTGTTGCTTTTAAGAAATTTTTTAATAATTTCAAATAAGTAGCAATAATTTTTCTACACGGTTTTATATTACTACATGTACTATTTACATTTTTGAACTGAAATAATAGTCATCATTGGATGTTATCTCAGTGACTAACCTTGTCAAGTTCTCTGAGAAAACATTTGAGTTTGTCAAAATATAGAAAAGTTCCAGTTAAACTCAGTGTTAATCCAACATTCTCATTTAATACAGAAAGTCTTGATGCTTACTTGTTCTCCCGGAATAGAGAGTCCATTGGGTCCCTGGGGACCTGGAGGACCCTGGGGGCCTGGAGGACCTGAATCTCCACGAGGACCAGGGGGCCCCTAAAATATACAAGAGAGAGACAACCATAAAGGAATGCAATCCTTCCCGTGCTAACATTCAGCTAGACACTTGTCTTCATAACTCTGAGACATCAATCATATAATCTTGGCAAACACTTTAAAAATCCATATCTATAAAAGTATTTATTAACATCATCCCTTTCTTCCCTTTACTACTCATTAAAAAAATTGGAAACTACAGTAAATTCATAAGAGCACTTAAATTTCCATAAAAATTCTATTAGAAGTATATTTTTTAAATAAAATACATTGAATATAATACACTCATTTATACACATACATTCATATGAGATCAAAGCTCAAATTTCATTGGATTTGATTTATTTTAAGCTAGTCCTGATTTCTCTTAGACGTGGGCTTATTTCTGGGACTAAAGCATATATAAATCAAGATATCAACAGATGAGATGCCCGTCCTGGAGCTCTCTTGCAATCTGTCTAGGTGGAAAGGGAACAAACTTGGAGTCAGACAGACCTGGGCTAGCATCTCAACTCACCCCTGGTTATCTCATCCTTAATGACATTATGACCAAAATCTACACATTATCTTCATAAAATATTTCCCTGAGAAGCTCGAGTTGTCTTATAGAAGACCAGTGTGGAACCAGCAGAAGAGGTAGGTGACCCCTAATGAAAGCATAGGCAGCCACTCAGCATTTTTTCTGAGACAGGTGAAAAAAGAGGAGCAGAACTATTTCCTATAGCTCCAGCTTTCTAGCGGGACTCTGCTCCTCATGGGGTCTGGGAACCCCGCCCCCTGCTTCTCCATGTTCTGGAAGAGCCTTTAAGGTTCTTCTGTAGATTATAGCTGTGAGATGCATTGTATGCGTTTCTTTCTCTGGCTGGTCTAATCCATCATTTTGACATCCAGAGACAAGACAGAGGTAACTATATTACCTAAGGCACACTAAACCTGAACTCACTTGCTCAAGGTCACATACCCCCTTCATGGAAATTTGAACAACCCAATTTCAACACGCAGACAAAAATTTAAATGCACTCTAAAATGTACTTACAATTGCCCCACTGATACCTCTTTCACCTCTGGGACCTTTAGCACCAGGTCCTCCCTGCAATGCATAGTAAGAGCACATTTTAGTGTGAACATAAGGAAAGTAAGAAGCAGCTAATATATAAAAAGTACTTCAAGAAAAAGTGCATTCTCCAGACAATCAGTATTTCTACAGCCATTTGCAAAATATAGAAGCAAATGTTTCATGTCATAAAAATATGTGAGGAAAGAGAATTTCAGAACTTTGTATATTTTAAGTGTCTTATTTTTACATTCTGAACTTATTGTCAGCAAAATTTGAAGTTGGTTCAAAAATTTGAGGTTTATTGAGAAAAGCAAACATTACTTGAATACAGCAAAGAGAAAAATGTGTTTCAGAATTATGCGAATTATATTCTTCAGGGAAAATAATCTGCAAAAAGAAGAGTATCTTAAATCTCTCAGAATCTCAGAATATGTACTTAAGTAATAGGAATTCAGAAACCACTAAACAAAGAGGAAATAAATATAACAGTGATATCCGATAATGTTATTTCATAACTAGAGGGAAAAAAATCCCCACTTCTCAAAAACATCTAAGTCATATTCAGAATATAAATTCATGATTGCAAATATAAATCAGCTATGTTATTATTATTTTAAAAATGATGGTAATTCCAGTGAATTTTTTATTCTGTATATAAGGAGCTGGTTTACAATCAACCTAAAATCAATTTACATTATTTGCTATGATCCAAGTAGAGTCAAATTTGGTGTTCTGTGAATCCCTGAGCTGTTCCTATGTTACCCATTTTCTTAAAAGCAGCCAACAGGGCTAAGAGCTATCACTTCTATTCCTCAAAACTGGCCCCAATCAGATGTTGGATTGACCAAATCAAGGGGTTCCACATTGATCAAGGAAGTCTGTCACTGCAATCTTCAATCTTTTCCCTTGTACTTGCTTGGCCTTCCCTGCTCCCATGAATAAACCTGGTCATAGTCTTCTCACTCAAACCCCAACACTTTCATCCAGAGTTTATGATGTCATCACATATGTGACCACCCTCTTTATATGTTATTCTCATGATATGTCTGTTACATAGGGTGCACATATACTAGGCTCTCAAGTTGTTCTTGGGTCAGCCTCTCAACCATGGCTCCATACCATAGATAAAGAAGCTTTCAGAAGATGTAAGGAATTTTCAGTCATACAATTACAGATGGAAACCCAGGTTCATATCTTTAAGAGAAAAGCTCTTGAAGACTAGCCAATATCACATTCCCGCATGGCTGAAGAAATGTGCCGAATACCAGCATCAAATATTCTTCTTGATTTACTCCATTTCAGATTTCTAAATAAACTGCAAAGATGGTCTGCAATTTAGCTTGTGCTGTCCTAGAAACACGGAAGAATGGAAGCTTTCTATGGATCCATACTGGCAAACAGATGAGCTCACGAAAAATTTCAAAGGAAAAACCAAAGGGATTGTTTCCTTACTGCAGGGCCCGGAGGTCCTGGAGGTCCAATGCTGTCCTGGGTACATGTGCAGGCGTTTGGTAGAGCAGGACATTTTGCTTCATCTCTCTGAAATTTTGAAAAGAATATTAACTTATGAATTTGGGGGGGGAAATGACTTCTAGTCCCCCAACCCCCACTTATATACATAGGGAAGAATGTTTCACAACATGAAGAAATCATTTCTAGTTATCATGACAAATAGTCCTGTGTTGAAACTCACTTTGGTCCTTTATGTCTTTTTTATGCTTTGCTTTAGGAAACCTCACATGACAAAGAAATGTTTACAAAACCACTGGGACTACTGGTAATTTAATCCAACTTTTTCTAATCCGGTGTTAGAGAAATGCTGGGTATCTCAAATAGCAACTCCCATTTCATTCAGAAAAAAAAAAAAAAAAATCCAAACTCTTCCCACGACCTACAATGCTCTCCATGTTCTGCAAACCAGCACCCACCACCCTGCCCACCTCACTGCCTACCACTTTTCCCCCTCGATTTCACCCTTCTCCCGCCCCAGTGATCTACTTAATGTTTCTCTGATATTTGGAGCACACTGGGGCTATCAGGCCTTTGCATTTACAGTCCCCTCCAGCTGGAATCTCTTCCTCCATTACCCACAGTGTTTAAATCTCGCCTTATCGCTGAAGGCTGACGGTACCCGCCATTGCCATCTATCCCTTTACACTGATTTGTTTTTCACCCTAGGACTTTCACTCTACAACACAGTATATATGTGTATGTGTATGTGTGTGTGTGTGTGTATATATATATATATATATATATATATTAGTTAATTATTTCTCTCCCCTGCCTTTCACTGGAATACTCACTTTTTACTGGTGTAACCCTAGCACATAGATTAGTGCCTGGCCTATCATAGGTGCTCAAAAGATGTTTGTTGAATAAATAACGCACACTCTTCCATGAATATATGCAGGTCTTTGCTTGCCAAAATCTTCAAATCCATCACCAACATTCAACTTTGTAACTGTTGCTATCTACACAGATAGTCTGAGGGAAAGCCATCATCTCAAAAAGAAATACGGTGGTTATTTCTACCTCCTAAACAATCTTAGATATCCAGAAAGGTGATGCCTTATTCTATAAAGTGCTGATATTTTACAAGCAATAAGAGGGCTTAGCAGTAAGTAGGTTTTTATCAAACACATTAACTCATCAGGACTTTTCTGTCAGGGAGAATTTCCAGATATGGTCTGTGCATTCCTAGCTTGTGAGAAAGGGATCACACGCAGGCACTGCACTGAGCTGTGGTAGCTGGTGAGCACGTACGCGTTGCGTGTCTTTTAGCTGCATCCTGGAGATACAGCTGCTGAGTGCTACTTCCTCTCCCACACACAAGGATTTATTCCTGGGGGACTATTAAAACCATGACAGGATTCAATTCTGTTTTACTTACCCTAGAGGGAATATCACAGCATCTGTCTCTACTGGTCCACACCGGGCTGCAGACAATGTCAAAACTCTGGATTTGGAACTGCAAACAACCAACAGCAACATCAGCTAAAGATGCATGAAAAACATTTTGTATTTATTAATATTTCCTCATTTTGACCTTTATTAATATTTCCTCATTTTGACCTTTGCCAACTTCTCACACAGACTCGCTTGAGGGTTCAAGCCCTCGAGAGCAATGTGACTCTTACTTCATAAGGAAAGAACTTAAAAACATATGCCTAAGAGAAAAAGATAGTAAAGTGAAATGTGTTGTGTGATTCACTCCTGATTCACTTCCTTGGCTAAATGAAATATGTGCATAAGTTTTGTTTTATTTTTT